TTACCCGTAATCTCTGATCAGACTGGTAATGAAAGTGTCGTGACCATCTCTAAACGGGTATATTATGAAATATAGAGAAAATAGCACCACTGTCCACCAGCCAAGATGAATAATTATGCAACCTAAGACAGAATGAATTACATGTGTTTATGTTCACTATTTAAAGAAATAAAAGGGGTTTTTTTCCTTTTTTTTTCTATTTCTTGTTGGTAACCTACATTTATTCATAAAATATATATCATTTTCCCCCTTTTTCCATTTTCCATTATTAACTTGATTATTAATTAAGAAATCACATGAATGTACAATCCAATTCAATCTTCGACTTATAGGCCTAAGGCGCATTATACTAGTCTGAATGCGCCAAGTTGAGAGACTGCTCAAGAAGAAAAAGAACAAAAGGAATAAAGGGAGGCAAAAATTTACAAGGAAAAAAGCAGAAAACAGAAAAGAGAGAATAGAATAAAACTAAAGGATCAGAAAAAAAAATAAAACATTAAATGGAGCTGAAAAGGTGAATTTTAATTCTCATTTTGAAAATATCTACAGATGGAGATTCACGAACGAGTTGTTGCAAATCATTCCAAAGTCAAGGAGCAGCAATTGAATAAGCTCTATCACCGAACGTCTTCGTGCGACTAGATGGAACTGTAAGAGTGGATGCAGAGGCAGTTGATCTCAAACTGCGTAAACATGTGGAAGAGCGCGAAGTTGAAAGTTCAGAAATATAAGAGGAGTAACTATGGTATGGAGATACAACCCACTGGTTGGTTAAAGAAAATTAAGAAATTAATTGTAGCTAGCAACAATGAATAACAACTTCTTTAAATTTATAAAATTTATGAATAAAAAAATAATATTCAAGTATAAAAACACAGTACCAAACAAGCAAACTTATTTTCATTGTGGTTATAATACACATTATTACTGTAACGTTGTTGATATTTACCCCATATAGTGTAGGCTATATGATAGCCTGTATAGCGAAATCCGGATACCTGCAAATTTAAGAGAACACAAACAAAACACCTTTAACGCATTATTTAAAATATTACCAGGCCTATAAATAACTATGATTAATACATTAATTTAAAACGGGCATCCGATTTCTTGAATAGTTTACTAAACGTTGGTCACATAAGTAAATATAATGAGAGTTGTTTCGAAAGAGCGAAACTTATAAAGTCCGTAACAAATTACAGACAACATAAGGGCGAACCAATATTTGAGAAGGAAGGAACCAACCAAAAACGCAATCTCGTACAAACTGCCTGGATTTAGAAGAATAACGGCATATTAATACAAGACTTAGTTTCATTTGTGAAGGAAACCATAAACAAACGGTAGATCACTTCCTCTCTGAATGTTCTAAATTAAAACAAACCAGAGACTTAATATTCTCTGAATTGGAAAGAGATCTATGTAACCATGATTCACTGGACTAATTTAATTTATGATTCTAATGATTTTAAACATCATATATTTTTTGATGATCTGTCTGATAGAGATGAAAATCTTTCAATTATCGTTGATTGTAAAAAATACATTCAAGAACCATAGAATTTGAGATCAAATATCTATAAGAACATTAATACTAAAACTAAAATAGTAGACAGTGATGAAAATGTCCAAATATGTAACATAACGACCTGAGTTAATCATAAGTAGAAACACGAGAGACAATGAGACAATAACGATGGTGTTACCCTTTAACTCTCAACAGAGTTCGGTGATAGAGCTTATTTAATTGTATTAACTTTTGTCTTTGTCTTGTTGATGTTTAGTCATTTTGATAGTTTTCCTTCTTCTGTATTTTATTGATATTAACTCTCAACAGAGTTCGGTGATAGAGCTTATTTAATTGTATTATTATTATTATTATTATTATTATTATTATTATTATTATTATCGTTATTATAATTATTATTAATATTATATTATTAATAATGATATTATTATTATTATTATTATTATTATTATTATTATTGTTTTTATTAATTATTGATATAATAATGCTATCTGACTTTTGTCTTTGTCTTGTTGATGTTTAGTCATTTTGATAATTTTCCTTCTTCTGTATTTTATTGACATTTTAAAGAGGGCTCCTGAACATCAACTGGCCTCCTGGTTCAGCTGGAAGGGCTCCCTCTATAATAAAATTTGAAATAAAAGAAAAATAAAATAAACAGAGGAACCTGGCAACGAAATGTTAAAATTAAGAAGGTCATCTTACTATTACTGTCCAGTTCGGGAACGGTTCGTTCGGGCAGAATGAATAGTCCCCTTTATACATCCTTAGTGTATGCTGCCTGCCAAAATAATTCAAAGTTAGACTTTATACAACGCCCTCATAATAATGATTTAAAAGTTTTAGAAAAAGTTTTCGATAGAGGGCAGTATACATATATATTGTGGCCTTAAATTTAGAAAAGTTTTCGTTTGTTTTTTTTATTTATAAAAGATTCGTATTATCCATGTATTATTTTATAATTACAGTCAGTATTAAAAGAATCCCGAAAATATTGTCTTGATACAAACCTGTATGACAACACAGCACTGACAATGAAAAAGACTGTAATAGCCAATGCGATATATGAAGTTATAACAAATGAATCTGAAATGGAAAGTGAATAAAAATTATGAAAAATGATGGGAAATCATTATGTAGTACACATTTGTGATTCATGAATCTGAAGTGATTTCTACGCAATTTATAAAATTTAGTATTTATTTTATTTTTAAATAAAAGGAGACATTATAAAATATAATAATCCATTATACACATACTATGTACGTATTTTAAATCAAAAGGCAAAATACTGGAATACAACAATGCAATGGAAAACGACAACTGGATCTCGGTTGGCTGTTAATGTAAGCTACAACCAGAAATACCCAGTGGTTTTGGAAATCCCTTACTTATAAAATACTTTATAAATATATAATGAGGTATGTAATAACTTACACACAGGTACACTATATCATATTAAAATAATAGTGATAATAATTATGTTAGGCTTAGTGCAAAATGCAATGCAGGTAAAATCACTGCATGGAGGCCTACCATGGGAAACGTGAAAAATCTCTTCTAGTGAGTAGTACAGGTTCTGATTAATAAGCGTTATATAGGTGTTTTTTTCAGCAAAAATATTTATCAGGGCTTGCAGATAGTCTGAAACATACCAGATGTAAATACTCCACACCTAAATAAAAGAAAACAATGTTATTAGAAAAGCCTTGTTTGAAATGCTGAAATGACTATGTAAACAATTTCAAAAAAATAATAACAGTAAAAATATAGGAACGTATGAAGCATCACCTTTCAAAATAATGTTTATGTTTTAGTTGTATGAAACTAGTGAAAATGTGGGTGGACCAAGTAATTTTTTTTTGTGGGTGTACTCAAATTTGTAACATCTCTCTATCAAAGCAAGCTTCATACCGCTAGACCACAGGGAGCTACACGATATTGGCTCAGATCTAATCCCAGACAGTTTCTCTCATATGAAACCATCTTCAAATTGGAGCATATATAGTCAATCGAGAAACTATTATAAAAAAAAATTTACTCACTGGTGCTTAAGACTCCTCTTCTTTCAATTTAAATAGTATAGTTATAGCATCAATGAAAAACGCGGTTTAGAGCTTCTATTTTATTGT